AGTCAGCTCCCCGGGAGCTGGACCGGGAGCAAGTATGTAACCATTTGGGTAACCAATAAGTTCATGATTATCGGTTACTAGTGTTACATGCAGCCCCTCTATCAGAGGCAACAGAGGGAGGGGTGAGAGCTGGTGCTTGTGCAAAGCCATTTTGAAAGCCAGATCTCCCTGAGCACCGGCTCCTGTGGAGCCACCAGTTCGCCCACCCACACTGCTGGCTCTCAGAGGTAGTAGTACAGGGGAGGGGACAGGCAGGAACCAGTATACATGAGAAGCTAGCTTTCAAGCTGGCTCCCTGCCTGTACCAGGGACTGAGGCAGCTGCCCCTCCCATAGTATTGCTGCCTCCCACAGAGGCAGCTCTGTGTGTTTGGGGGGGAAGGTGGGAGCAAGCAGTCACAGAACCACCTGCCTCCCCCACACTGCTGCCTCTGAATCAGAGGCAGCAGTGTGGGGGAGGGAGGGCAGCCGGGAGCCGGTACACATGGGAAGTCAGCTTTGAAGCTGACTCCCCATGTGTACCAGCTCCCACCTACCCGACTGCCCCTCCCACCTCTGTTACAGAGAGTGGGATGGGGACTGGAGGTGATGCCATGAGCACCGGCTCCTATCTTCCCCTCCCCCATGTAAACATGCAGCCACTTAAAATTTCAGCAGATACACATTTACACAATTAAACACACTTTAATATCCTTATCGGTTACCCATTTAAACGGTTACACTCTTACATCCTTACTCAGAAAGGGCCCCTTATGTCTCCAACATGGCACTGACCAAATCAAGTGGCTGTTAGTCAGGACTCTTCCTAAAGCACTCCCCTTAAAAGGGAAAATGCATGCACACACACCCTCAAGGGACAGGACTCAGATCCCATTAGTGGGATGCATATGTGTGAGAGGGAAAGGTGCAATCATGATGGTTTTGTAATGATTTTTGTATTGCATTTTAAACTGATGCCAAAGGTGATAGGCACTAACCAGTCACAGCCATTCTTTTTCAGCAGGGGGACAAAAGGGCCAGATCCAACCTGCCAAGTAGGTGGATCCGGACCGTGGAGGCCCTGCCACTCCCCCTGTGCCCAGGTCAATCAGGGCCTAGGGACGGGGTGCGCACTACCCTTAGAGTCAATCCCAGACTACTGCACTAGGAAACACAATATGGGAAGGAGGTGAGCAGCCCTTGGTGGAGAAAGAACAGGTTAAAAACTATTTAGAAAAGCTAGACATACACAAATCCATGGGTCCGGATTTAACGCATCCTAGGGTACTGAGGGAGTTGGCAAATGTCATTGCAGAGCCTTTGGCCATTATCTTTGAAAACTCATGGAGATTGGGAGAGATCCCTGATGACTGGAAAAAGGCAAATGTAGTGCCCTTCTTTAAAAAATGGAAGAAGGACTGTCCTGGCTCCTTCCCCACTCTGGCATGATAAATGCAGAAGTGGGGGCCAGCAAAAGTACCCCCAAACCTTGTTTACCAGGCTTTGGTATAAAACTTCCTCCCAAAATCTTAACAACCTAGATTTTGGGGATAAAAATCTCTGCTGCCACCACCCAAATATGCTAAAGAAATCAGGGAGAGACTACTTAGGAAATATCACCCCTAAAGTACAAACCAGGACACAAAAATTAACCAATACCAGGTTAATAAAAAGAAAAGAGAAAACGTTTTATTTTTGCCACAATATTCCTGTATCCATAATAACTAGATGGAAAAGTAACAAAATAATATACTCATGGCCATGTAACTTAGTTACAAAGGAAAGCCAAAACATCAGATCCCATTTCCTAAACCATAAAATAACAAAACCTAACGGGTTTATCTAAACTTTACCCTACTTACAGAAAGTGAAGAATTGTTTCTTGGAGAGAGAGACATGTCTGCCTCCCTCAGTTGCTGGAGAGAACTCTCAAAGACAAAGGAGGGGAAACCAAACATTCCTTTGTCCTAATTTGAAATTCCTACCTACATTCCTATTGGCTGAATGTACCCAGGGGCGGACCGTGGATGTAGGCAACCTCGGCGTTTAACGTTTAACGCGGCGCCCAATGATGACATCACGCCATTGAGAGCTATGGAGGCGAGGGTGCCAATCGCCCATTCCGCCTAGGGAGAGACTACTTAGGAAATATCACCCCTAAAGTACAAACCAGGACACAAAAATTAACCAATACCAGGTTAATAAAAAGAAAAGAGAAAACGTTTTATTTTTGCCACAATATTCCTGTATCCATAATAACTAGATGGAAAAGTAACAAAATAATATACTCATGGCCATGTAACTTAGTTACAAAGGAAAGCCAAAACATCAGATCCCATTTCCTAAACCATAAAATAACAAAACCTAACGGGTTTATCTAAACTTTACCCTACTTACAGAAAGTGAAGAATTGTTTCTTGGAGAGAGAGACATGTCTGCCTCCCTCAGTTGCTGGAGAGAACTCTCAAAGACAAAGGAGGGGAAACCAAACATTCCTTTGTCCTAATTTGAAATTCCTACCTACATTCCTATTGGCTGAATGTACCCAGGGGCGGACCGTGGATGTAGGCAACCTCGGCGTTTAACGTTTAACGCGGCGCCCAATGATGACATCACGCCATTGAGAGCTATGGAGGCGAGGGTGCCAATCGCCCATTCCGCCTACAACAATCTGTTCTAGGACTGTTTTTGTTCAACATCTTTATTAATGACCGGGATGAGGGGATGGTTTGCACCCTTAACAAGTTGCAGATGACACTAAGCTAGGGAGAGAGGCAGATACATTGGAGGGCAGGGATAGGGGAGAGAGAGACCTGGACAGATTAGGATTGGGCCAAAAGAAATCCAATGAGGTTCAACAAGCACAAGTGTAGAGTCCTGCACTTGGGACGGAAGAATCCCAAGCATTGTTACAGGCTGGGGACCAACTGGCTAAGTAATGGTTTGGCAGAAAAGGACCTTGGGATTACGGTGGATGAGAAGCAGAATATGAGTCAGTGTTCCCTTGTAGCCAAGAAACCTAATGGAATATTAGGTTGCATTAGGAGGAGCATTGCCAGCAGATCTAGAGAAGTGATTATTCCCCTTTATTCGGCTCTGGTGTGGCCACATCTGGAGTACTGTGTCCAGTTCTGGGCCCCCCACTATAGAAAGGATGTGGAATCATTGGAGAGGGCAACCAAAATGATTAGGGGGCTGAAGCACGTGACCTATGAGGAGAGGCTGAGGGATTTGTGCTTATTTAGTCTGCATAAGAGAAGAGTGAGGGGGAATTTGATAGCAGACTTTAACTTCCTAAAGGGAGGTTCCAAAGAGGATGGAGAAAGGCTGTCCACAGTAGTGACAGATGGCAGAACAAGGAGCAATGGTCTCAAGTTACAGTAGGGGAGGTCTAGGTTGGATATTAGGAAAAACTATTTCACTAGGATGGTGGGGAAGTACTCGGAGTGGTTACCTAGGGATATGGTGGAATCTCCATCCCTAGAGGTTTTTAAGTCTCAGCTTGACAAAGCCCTGGCTGGGTTGATTTAGTTGGGACTGGTCCTGCTTTGGCTGGGGGGCTGGACTTGATGACCTCCTGAGGTCTCTTCCAGCCCTATGAGTCTAAGAACCCTGGCATTTGATTCTAAGAGCAGTGCACCCGAAGGCAGGGAGTGAGAGACTTCGTGCATTCCCCTTGGCCCACAGGCCAATCAGGACCTGGGAGGGGTGGAAAGCATGCAAAGTCTCCTCCCACCCTGCCCCATCCCTGCAAGGAGCGCACACTCCTTGCAGGGCGGGAGGAGACTTTGCGTACTCTGCTCCGCACCCAGGCCGAGAAAGGGGCTTGGCATTTAATGTCAACTGCCAGCTGCTGCTCAGCTGGCAGGTGATTAAGCATGGCACTCCCTTGCAGAGCCGGGGCAGGGAGCGAGAGACTTCCCATGCTCCCCCTCCCGTAGGCCCTAATTGACCAGGGGCTGGGGGGGGGGAGAGGGGGGGGTGCAAAGTCTCCTAGAACCCTGGCATTTGATTCTAAGAGCAGTGCACCCGAAGGCAGGGAGTGAGAGACTTCGTGCATTCCCCTTGGCCCACAGGCCAATCAGGACCTGGGAGGGGTGGAAAGCATGCAAAGTCTCCTCCCACCCTGCCCCATCCCTGCAAGGAGCGCACACTCCTTGCAGGGCGGGAGGAGACTTTGCGTACTCTGCTCCGCACCCAGGCCGAGAGTGGAAGGGCCTCCATGGGCTGGACCAAGTCGCTTTAAGCATGGCACTCCCTTGCAGAGCCGGGGCAGGGAGCGAGAGACTTCCCATGCTCCCCCTCCCGTAGGCCCTAATTGACCAGGGGCTGGGGGGGGGGAGAGGGGAGTGTGCAAAGTCTTCTCCCTCCACCAGGGGCACAGGCACAGAGGCATAACAGCTGGCGGTTCTCAGGCAGGGGGAGGGGCAAAGACTTTGTGTGCACCCCAACCCCCAGACCTATCAGGATCTGTGGGTGGGGAAGCACAGAAGTGTCCTGGCCCTGCCCCTTCTACCTAAGGCCCTGCCCCTTCTGGGGTGGCCCAATGCTACTTCAAAAAATATTGCCCACCCCTATTCTTGTGTGCGTTCAGTTAAATCCAAATACACACATAAAATAACAGAAGTGGGTTTCCTGTTGTGAGTGCATATTCAGGCACTCACCCATCAAGAATGAGGAATTTTGAAATCCAGAGAGCATGTGATTCCAAGATTTCATCTAGGTAAAAAACATTGTTGATCATTTCAGCACCGATCTGAAGCACACTCTACTTTCATGCTCAATATTGTATTCAAATCTGGGTCTCAAACAACATAGTATGAGATATGGAGGAATAGGTGCAGACTGTACATAAAACTCACTATACATGAGAAGAATAGTTTTTGTCACAACCCAAATGCTTTACTTTTCAGTTTCTGCAAAAAGTTTCTGCTGGGTTCTCTCATTTCTATTAGGCATGCCTAGTAACTGCAAATTAAAACACATCCTCATTCAGCCATGACGACTTTATGATCTCCTCACCTCCAACTTTTGCTTGGTGTCAGCTCCTAATAAATCTCTTATGTCTTCAGTGTAAATCTCCAGATAAGAGACTCTCACCAAGAACTTGGTGTTTTCAGCACACTGTTCAAAACCAAAAGTTGAGATTTTAGGATAAGCTTTTCAAAAGTACCTAAGGATCACCTGAACATCTATTGACTGTCAACAAGAGTTGAGCGCCTAACTTCCCTTCACATTTTTTAAAATACTTAGTTTGCAGATTAACTATTTAGTTCACATTATATGGGAACCTTTCAAATTATAGATACAATACACAAACATCGAGAAGCTTAGAACTAATGCAGAGTAGAGATGTTAAAAAGTGGGTAATTGGGTAAATGTGTAACAGCTGAAAATCTCAGCAGTTCCACGGTTACCGGCACCTGCCGCTGGGGCTGGAGGTGGAGAGGGGGGACAGGTAGGTCTGTGGGATTGGGTGTTTATGGGGAGCCAGCTTAAAAGCAGGCACCAGCTCCTGCCTCCTCCCCCTGTTGCTGCCTCAAATACAGAAGCAGCAGCAGAGGATGGCAGCTGGCTCCTGAGGAGCAAGGTTCCCCAGGATGCCCCTGGCTTATCAGTTAACCATTTACACAGTTAAACTTTCACATCCCTAGTGCAGAGGTCTGGTTTACACTGGTAAATACCCAGCATCAAGATACAATCAATAAACCATGGTATTATGTAAAAAAAAAATTAATGGAGATTGCCTATCTCCTAGAACTGGAAGGGACCTTGAAAGGTCTTGAGTCCAGTCCACTGCCTTCACAGCAGGACCAAGTACCATCCCTGACAATTTTTGCCCCAAATGGCCTCCTCAAGGATTGAACTCACAACCCTGAGTTTAGGAGGCCAATGCTCAAACCACTGAGCTATCCCTCCCACCCTACTATGTAATATGCAACAAGACCTTTTAATATTCAGCTTGAAGTAAAAGTATCTTGCCCTTCTCTAGCAGCTTTCAGCAGAGGGTTTCATAGCACTTGATAGAAACTAATGACTTAAACCACACAACCCTCTAAGAGTTAGCCATATCTACACTGCAAGATTAGGTTGAATTTATTAAGTTCACTTTTTTTTATCATTCAAGTTTGTAAAGTCAAAAGTGAACATGCCCACTGTGTGCAAGAGTTCAATGTAGTGCATCCTTAGTATGGTGGCTACCATAAACTTTGACAGTGATGCACTGCGGATTGCTCTCTCAGAGTTCCTGCCACCCCCTGGCATTCTGGATTAGGTTCCAAGTGCCTAAGGGGACAAAAACAGTGAGCAGGTAGTTCTGGGTACATGCTGTCAGCATCCCATAAGTCAAGCAGAATGAAAACAATGGCAAACAATCTTTTCACTCCTTCTCCTCCCTCCCCCCAGTTATCCATGCAGATGCCACAGCAAGGTGTCTTATGCTGCAATATATCTAAAGCCTAGACAGAAGCCACAGGAACGAGGAAGAATGAGAGGAGGGAATGAACACAGAGAAGTATGAAAGCACTGAGTGGAGCAAATGGCAGATGCTGGCAGCAGTAAATCCTGTTGACGCAGTGGAATACTGGTTCTGGTTCCGTGACACAAGCACCAACTGGTATGACCACATAGTTATGCAGTCATAGGACGATCGGCAGTGGCTGCAAAACTTTTGCATGTATAAGGTCATTTTCATGGACGTTTGCTAATTGCTTTCCCCTGCCCTGAAGCACAGCAATACCAAAATGAGACTCACTCTGACAGTTGAGAAGCAAGTAGCAAAAGTCCTGTGGAAGCGTGCAACAGCCTCTGTTCATGGTAGCCAGGGATGGCCATGAACAAGGCTTACTGCCAGAGCAGCCAGTTTGCGGCAGCCCCGCAGACAGGAGTTGCTTTGCCACAGAAACTCCGGTCGGTACGGGTCCCAACTCCCCAGTGGGACCCCCCCCATGGATAGGGACTGCTGCAAGAGCAGCCTCCCCTGATCCCCCCCACACACTGCTGCCTCTAGCGTTGGGGGGAGGAAGGGGCAAGCAGCACTGCAGAGATGGTGCTTTTTAGCCAGCTCCCCCCAACACTGGCTCCTTCCCCCCACTTGATGCCTGATATAGAGGCAGGAAAGGGGAGGGGAGGGAGAATGTGAGTAGTTGACTAATCGACTACTCTTTTACATCCCTAGTGGGGTTCAGACACTATTGTGGTGAATTCTGTAGAAAAACTTATTAATAAATAGCTAATAACATATAGGCCCAAACCCTCAAAAATAGTTAGGAACCTAACACCTACTGAAATCAATGAGAATTAAGCAACAAATCACCTTTGAGAATTTGGGCCATAGTCACTGCTTCTGTACCCATTTCACTTCATTACATACCTGTACACTCTCAAAAATGTGTTCAAATGCCCTGGGAATTATGCCTTTCTGTGGAGGAGGGTCCGTAATGCCCTGCATGGTAAATGACTTCCCACTGCCAGTCTGACCATAGGCAAAAATAGTGCCATTGTAGCCCTCAGTAACACCCTGGAAAATTAAAGAAAAATATAAAATGTCATTCACATGTTTTGAATTAAGCTACTAAGATTCTATCACCTAGCAGTGATTTTATGGGGAAACAGAAATGCTGAGTAAGCAAAGAAACTGCTATGTCATCTTTAGGCGGATGTACCTGAGCTGGAATTTTTAATCTGTTCTAAAATCTCCCATGGGATCTTTAATTTCCAAAAACCAAGGACTTGGTTTTACATACCAGCCAAAACCCAGAAAAATAAAAAGCATAGAAAACCTGAAGAAAAAGTAGGGGCAAGCTTCCTAGCTCAGGCCATAGATGAAGAGAATAAAACAGATTTCTCTCCAACCCCAGGGGCTGACAGAAAACAGAAGGTCAAAACAGAAAGGGTACATTGATTATACGAGAGAACATTTTGATACTTTTGCTGTAGGTCAGAAGATACTCTCATAACTGGAGAGACAGATGGAACTACTACTGATTATAAGATGGCTAAACAGGAAGTTTCAATCCTATAATAGTGATAAGAATATTATTTTCTCATCTTACACCTCCTTTGCAAAGTTGGATAAAGGAGGGAGTCACCTTTTCTTTATTCATTCCCATCTCAGCAAGACATGAAATAGATACAATTTTATGAGTCACCCTTGGGTGATGAATTTGCTCATTTTTTAAAAAACTCAATGCAAGATACCCCAGATGCACTGTCAATCTTACTATACATTTTAGAAATGTGTGTCCATCTGTCTGTCCATCCACCTGTGTGTCCAATTGTTCAAGAACACTTCCTAAATGGTAAGAGCTAGAACCAACAAATGTGGTATGCAGCTTCCTTTTATCGTGACTTAAAGCAAGGTAAAGATTTGGTTGTCCCAGGACAATGGGATGTTCCTGGAATTTGATTGTTTTTCATAAAATGGAAAGGAAGAGTCTGACAGGAGGGATAGTTATACTGCAAAATGACCACAGGGGACAGTGAGAGGCGAGAAATGAGGATCAGGACAGCCATAACCCCATTTGGCCAGCAAGCTGCTGCAGTTGAGAGAGGGCTGGGATCGTCCTCTCTCCCCCAAACAGCCTGAATACTAAACCCCTCATTTCCAGCGCCACCCCAGAACAATTATTTAAACAAAGAAAACCAAAACTTATTGAGTTAAAGACTCAAGCTTCACTGGGTAAATCTTCTAATAACAACTAACACAGAGAGTTTGAAAAAAATGAACCCCATACCAGTTCACCAGAGATTGAAATATTATTAGGGAGAGAGGCTGCAAAGTGCCATAAATGAGATAATAGGCAAAACCTTGATGAATTGTTCTGCCTCGTGCTGTGAAGCTCATCTTTGGTAAGCTACAAAGATGCCTTTGAGTGAGCAGAGGAGAAGATAATGTTCTTTGAATTACTGAAGTGGTTTCCCTGCAATCATTTGAAGTCCTGGTTGTCCCATCTCCTGCC